TTTCTCCATGACTTTTCAGCTTTGACTCTTCCAATCCTATTTTGACTTGATAACCAGTTCATGGCACTAAAGCAGAGAAGCTCTGTGTGTACTGTTTCCTCCTGAAATCTGAATTAAGTACAAGAATCCACCCTGACCACCTCCTTAGTTCAGTGCTTACACCAGAGCCAATTTGGGCGACTCAAATGAGAGATGGAATATGCTAACAAGTTTGGAAAGATCAAACCCGACTGATGAGCTGCAACTAGACTCAGCCTGCCCCAGATCTGGTGCAGGAGAGATGTCACTGTAACCAACAACACCCATTCAATAACTATCGTGAAGGCAGACCCCAAGGATTTAGTGAGAAGCAGGGATACCAGGCAATATAAGACTAAGAAGTGAATGAGTGAAGAGGCAAAGGAGGCAGTAGGGATGCAGTATATTCCACCATTTCTGACCATAAAGTAAGAACGGTGAAGTATGACAGTAGCCAGAGGAGCAAAGTCTTTATAACCTGTCTTTGGCTCTTACATGTTTGCATGTGTGGTATGTGTCCTATGCATGTGAGGGTGTGTGCTATGCCCATACAGGTGCACCTGAAGTACAGTGGTCAATATTAGGTGCCTTTTTCTATTGTGTTCTACCTTACTTTTAGAAACAGTGTCTCTCACTGAATCTGGAGTTTGCCATTAGAGCTACATTGGCTGGACAGTGAGTTAGCCCCCCAGGATCTACCTCTCTCCACACTCACCCTCAGTGCAGCGGTTACACAGGTATATGTCTGGCTTCTGTGGGTTCTGGGGATCCAAACTCAGATCCTTGTGCTTGCTCAGTAAATCCTTTTAGCCAATGAACTATCTCCCTACCCCCAACCCTGTTTTTAAGCTAGGTACAAGATGTTGTCTTGTAGGCAGAGTTTCCTGTCCCAACTGCCTGCTGCCAAATAACTGGCAGCTGCATCCCAAATAACTGACTTGGAGACTTAATTATAAATGCTCAGTTGATAGCTTGGGCTTGTTATTACCTAACTCTTACATTTAAATTAGCCCATATTTCTTATCTATGCTTTGCCATATGGCTCATGGCTTGTTATCACATTTTCTACATGTCCTCAGCGGCTGGCTGGCTGGCATCTCCTCTGACTCTGCCCTTCCTCTTCCCATCATTATCCTAGTTTGGTTGCCCTGACTATACTTCCTGCCTGACTGCCAGCCAATTAGTGTTTTATTAAACCAATTCGAGTGACAAATCTTTACAGTGTACAAGAGGATTATTCCACAGCATTGTCTTTTCATTTTTTCTTCAAATACACCCTCAAATTCCACCAGTTTCCATACCATCTTCATATATGTAATATTAGTACAGATGGAGTCAATCCTACCTCCCCTGTCTGTCTGTGTCTATGGTTGGTTCATGAACATTCCTGGGAGGGAGATGGTAGAGGTGAGGTTTACTGAGATTCTGAGAACGTTGTACTCTGCTCTTGTGAGTAGGATCTCTCACTCATATCCTACTCTACTCTCCCTACCATGAAGGAAGCTGGGGTACATTACAAAGCATTCAAAAACCACAAAGAAAGTAGCAGGTTACCATGAAAGGTAGAGCAGGTAGAAGGAAGCAGAATAGATCCAAGAATGTGATTGGACAGCTCAACAGTTGTCTAGCCAGTTTCAAGGCATGGGAGCCAGTAAGTTTTATTGTTAAAGTTGTTTGAGGCAGGTGACATGTTAATTTCAGCAAAAACCATCTTACCATGGGAAAATATGTTTTTTTTTTAAAAAAATCTGGTGTTTAGAGATAAAAAAATCAATGGAGAAGTAAAGAACTAGACAATAGGAAAAAAGGGACAACTGAAGTTTCTAGATGGGGGTAAAGAAGAAGGTGGAGGAGCATTCTGAGGAAGATGATGAGAAAGAGGAATAAGGATAGAGACATTTGTGAGTGGAGTTTAGAATGCATTTGATTTGTCTTTGATCTCAACATAATCTAAGGCAAATACATCCTCTGAAAGGATCTAAATGAGGTTACAGATTAAAAAAAATTATCTCTAGATTGTTTGGCCAGATCAAACACTGTTTCCTTTAGAGCTGTTTGAAGCAATACATACACAGCCTCACCACATACCAAGCCAGAGTATACCCCAAGGGCTGTGGTAGCAGTGTAGAGGTAGGTGGGCAACTGTCTCCACCCTGCCACTTTGCCTTCCCTGTTCCTGCCAGTTGATGAGCAATCCCCCCCTCATCTATGTCCAAAAACTGCCAAACCATTTATTAACCCCAGGAAAAGGAGTTGAGACCACAAGGGAGCCAGTTTCCACCACTGGTTTCCCAAGATGAACTCCACAAGTCAACTCCTCCACCCATAAACATACTCCTTGACATTTTGCATGATAATATAAAAATGCAATATATGCAGACATTTTTCTTTTTATTTTGAAATAATTTGACTTGCTTCCAAAATCTGTTTGCTTGCATTGTATATTATAGATGTCTTTTCAGTAAAAAGAAAAATCAAAATATCTAGAGAATATTAAATGCTTGTAGTAAACTCTTCACTAACTTCTTTCTTCTGCACTCAAGTTGCATTTGAGAATTTTTGTTTGGATACTATATTAAGCATTAAAGAGATGCATTCCATTTTTCTTTCCATAAGCAAGCAATTCGCCTCTGTATTTTTAAAAAAATGTTGTCTCAAAACAGCAACAGCTAACCTGTGTAAATGTATTGTGGGTTAAAATATAATGAATTAGAAATCCTGTTGTACAGTTCAGCCAGCAATACTTCTAACAAAACCAATTCACATGAAGCTTGATGACTGTGGTGACTACTAACAGTGACAAGAGTCTAGACCTGGAATATGCCCATAAGGCTTAAGTGTTAACAGCATGTCCTCAGCTTGGTGCTTTTATGTGATGGGAACCTTCAAGAGGTGAGGTCTAGTGTGACATATTGCAGAATATTTGTTTACACTGTGAAGATGTGTCTTTGCCAAGGCACCTTCTGATTGGTTTAATGAAGAGCTGAATGGCAAATAGCTAGGTGGGAAGAGGTTAGGTGGAACTTCTTGGGACAGAGAAGACTCTGGAAAGAAGGGAAGAGGTACTGCATGGAGGAAGCAGAATGGGCAGTATGGAGAGATGAGGTAATGAGCCACACAACAGAATGCAGATTAAAATAAGTGGGTTAATTTAAGATATAAGAGCTAGTGGGACAAGCCTAAGCTAAGGCCAATCTTTCGTAATTAATAAGTCTCTGTGTCATTATTTGTAGGCTGGTAATCTTTATGAGAAAGCATATTTCAGTGACATTTATGGTTTTAGTTGGGCCTTTGAAAAGGATTGTAGAACACTTTTTCTTGTGCTCACTCTCTTTACTTTGCAACTGCCATAGGGTGAGAAGCTTGCTCAATCACATACTTCCTGCCATGATGTATCACCTTGTCACAGGCCTAAAGATAGTCATCCAACTATGTGAACTACAGGAATAAAACCTCCAAGACTCAGGGCCACAATGAACCTTTCCAGTTTGGAAGGTGATGATTTCAGGCATTTATTAAGCTGTAACAGAGAGTTAATATGAGTTATAAGCAAAAAGCAGTGGCAGCCCAGGGAATGGGATGGTTGGGTAAATCAAAAAGGCTACCAGAGGAACTTAGCTGAACTTTGAAAACCAACAGAAACTTGCCAGTTTAGCTGCAAGATATGACGTGCTATGCTCTGTATCCCGCTTAATATCATTGCTCCACTGTTCTTTCCAAATTGTTTCCTTGTTTTCTCTAGTGTTAACAGAATTCCACCTAGTACTGAAATTCTAAGCTCTTCTAATGGACAAGAAATCACAAGATAGGGATTAACTGTTCTCTTTTCCTGAAGCTTCTAAAGGGCAAACACCACTCAACATCATAAAACAGATCTTCCAAGTATTATTTCTAACAAAGGATTCTTGTAAAGTGTGGGAGCCCGTTCTCGGGTTCCTCGTGGCTTTACCCAGCAGGTCCGCATAGAGGATGATTAGGACCATGGGCCTGAGTGCAGGTGTCTGAGATGGTCTGTACTTGACTGTGCTGGGGGAGGAGGTCTTTTGCTCCACCCCTTGGCATCTCTATAAAAACCCTGGGGCAGAGACAGTCGGGGCCAATTGGAAAAGGTTCCAGGCCCTCTCGAGGCTATCCTTTATTTTCTATCTGTTTATCTCCGCAATAAATCCTTCTATCTAATATTTCCTGCTGCTCACACTCAAGAAAACTTTGGGCAACTGTGGGGGTGGTGGGTAAACGGTCCACAGTAAAGTGCCTTGACTTCCAAGCCTAAAGTCTGCTGTTGATCTGCCCTAAAAGATCTTTCATTCTAATAGGTTGTTTTATATAATACATAATTGGAATCTATATCTTCCTGCATCAATTTTAAGGGCTTTTCTCCCACAACTGTTAAGGAAATAGAAGGGAATAAAGCTTGACTTAACTATTTCTTTGAATAGTGTGAGTGCGTCTAAATACTGGATAGACAATACAGATAGATGCAGAAAGAATTATGGCACAATCCTGGAGAAGGCAATTCTATTAGGACAAATCTGTACAGGAAAGTCAAAGAGAAAGGTAGACAAGTAGATTAAGTAAGTAGGTCATATGACAAGCAATGGAATTAACATATTCTTTCAGAAGTGATAAGGAGGTATCACAAATAAATGATGTCCATGAGGCCAGAGAGAAGGCTGAGCAGTTAAGACCATACACTGCTTTGTAGAGGACCCAAGTCCAGTTCACTGCACCCACCCAGAGCAGCTCACAACCATCTGGAAATCCAGTTCCAAGGGATCTGATGCCCTCTTTTGGCCTCCATCTTTACAAGTACTCACAGGCACGTAACTGCATACATATGTACATATGACTAAAAAGAAATCTTTTTTCAAGAAATGAAGTACATGATTAGACAAGCATGTAAGCTCATTGTAGGAAGTGGCACTGGTAGCTTGTTTCAATATTATGTGACTTTTTTTTTCCTTTAAAAAAAGTACAAACTGTGTAACTTGAAACTTTATTTTTAAATTATTCTGAAATTTGAGTTTTTCAAGAACGTTAACCATTATCTACTTCCCATCAACATATAACGTATATTAATAAAATCACAGACACTGTTGCAGTATGAAACATGAAGCAGTAATTGCTCTAGCTCAGCTAATTAAACTCCTTCAGTAAATAATCATGCTAAAACCTCCAACCACCCAAACAAAAAAATTCTAGTTCTCTTAAAAGATATTTATAAAGTTTATTTTTTCCAGAAAACCAAAATAATTGACTCAACAATAAGTACAGTTCTAGCATGCAGCAAACCATCATTTAACATGTTTATCTTAACATGAATTCGTACTTTATTTTCACTTCTACAGTTCCCAGAAGAAGCTTGCAATGATAATAAGGTAAGTATTTTGTTACAGGTACTTCAAATAGCACTACAGTACATCTCTTGACAAAATTTTTACAGTATTCCAACTTTCAATATGAAACAGCTTTAAAAGGCATGAGCCAAAAAAAAAAAAACCCACCAAAAAACAAACCAAAACAAACAAAGCATCTTATTATTACTCAGGCAAAGATTCATAGTCATACGAGCACAACATTCAACTCTCCCTGTTTAGGTGGGAAAGAAATATGTCAGGCATTTCCCTTCAAATAAAATTATATAAATAATTTGGGAAATGCCCAAATCCATAATTTTACACATTAAATAATTCTTGAACTTTTACTCTTGGAAAACATGAACTATTTATGCTTTGCTTTTATGCAACAATTCCTGCAAGAGTTCTGTGCAAAGACAATTCTGTAAACCATATCTTGCTTGTGCTGGAAAAACACACCTCATATCTCAAAGAAACAGAAGAGAAGTTATTCCTTCAAGCATGTGGCTCTCCTCTTTAGATGAACATCTCTACTTAAAAATAGGCACATCTGTATATCATTCGGGTATTTTACTCATACCATCACATTTTATCTCTGTAAATTAAACCCAAGTTCATAAGATTCATGTGGGTTGAAAGTTTTTCCCTTTTCCTCCCCTCACAAAGTACAGCTCTTACACCATTATCAATGTTTACACTTACTTAACTGCCCACACTTCCAGCAGCAGGCTTTTCACTATATTTAAGTGTGCTAAATTCCCACCCATTTCTTTTCACCTCAGAACAGTTACTCTTTTTACTGCTAGAAGATATTAGTCAATGATCTTACAAACTGCCACAAATGTGAAGGACAATCTGTGACTGAGATACTTCTCTCGAAGATTAGGAGTAAATGAAATATTTTGTCAAATTATGACAATACTGTTTAGAAAAAAATGATGCCCTGAACTCTAGCAGCATCTTATTCCTATACAGGGACAATATCCTTACTAACTGAAGTAACAACAAAGATTAAAACAATACTATAGCATTAGTGTCTTTCACAGAGGTGCGAAAACCGAAACTACATAGCTATCACCATTTGATCAAATTTGGCAGAATAGACTTATTTAAGCCAGGGCCACTCAAAGAGCTGTTAAAGCAAAGTTTTGTTCCTGGCTACTGCTCTCAACCACTAATGGGCAAACAGGTGCACTGCATTTAAATGTCTAAAAAGATACAACTGCAGACATATCAGAAAAGCTCATGGCACTTGGGAAATACCCGTGTAAATGTAAACAGTATTGGATAGTAAATACTCACGGGTGTAATGTTTCAGTTCCTTAGGGAAAAATAACAGCAGCCTAGATGGGGAGGGGACACTTCTGACTAAGAAGGTAAAATTGCCAGTCTCAAAAAATCACTGTGAAAAAGTTGTAATTTCCCCCACCTGTTTCCATATCTGTTGTCCTCTTATCTTTTAACTTGTAAGAAAAATGTTTTGCAATAGAACTTAAGTAAGTGTCCATGTAAAATAAATTATGGCAGGGTGGGTTACTATAGCCGAATGGCAATTCTGGCCTCATTTTGGGAGGTATACATATACATACACATACATATATATATATATATATATATATATATATATATATATATATATATATATATATATATTGATACAATGTCTTAAGGAGTAATTCAACAAATCAGGTCAAATTGATGATGGATTCATACTTTTTTTTTTTTTTTTGGTTTTTTCGAGACAGGGTTTCTCTGTGTAGCTTTGCGCCTTTCCTGGAACTCGCTTTGGAGACCAGGCTGGCCTCGAACTCACAGAGATCCGCCTGCCTCTGCCTCACCTTTTAATACAACCAAAGTTATACACTGACAACCTTAGATACTTAGTTATGGCATCAAACCATGCTATTCCTTCTCAAGTCATTCGGCTGTTTCTAAAACACTGATTTTATTTAACTTACTCCTTATTATGCAAGACAAGCAATTGCCTATGAAGCCATTCTCTAATGTAGGCCTTCAGCAAAATGTCTCAGAGGGTATTATATCACCAGAGACCACAAATGCATTAGTGGTTTTTGTTATATTACTGAATCTAGAACAACCACTTTCTCCTGTGGCCGTTCTTTAAAGTGAGTGAGCTGATGTCTCTTCCAGTGAGGTGCTTGTCTGAATGTTTTGCCACAGACTGAGCACTCAAATGGTTTCTGCCCTGCATGGATTAAATAGTGTCTTTCTAGTTTGGACGGAGACCGGAAATTTTTACAGCACACACTGCACTGGTAAAGGAGCCCATCACTTCTTTCAGGACGGTCTAAATAATTGTAACAGTGACGGCTCTGCTCTGACTCCAAAAGTGTGTTAGTGAGGTAAGACTGCCTGTTCCTACAGTGGGGACCGAGAACGAAATCCTCTGATTCTGCCTTGACTTCAGTCCCCGATACTTGATTGGACTCTGAGCCCTCATACTTTTGAAAACTAAGCCCCTCACACTGTTGGGAGGCATTATAGCTAACATCATCACTTGGATGAAGAAAAAGTTTGTTCACATTTCCAAAGTCCACTTGCCAAAAGGAACTATAGGGAATCTTTTCAATATGAGTTAGTTTATGTCTTTTTAAGTGAGCCGACTGTCTGAAAGATTTCCCACAAACATTACAGCCAAAAGGCCTCTGTCCAGTATGAATTAAATAGTGTCTTTGTAGTTTAGAGATAGAAGGAAACACTTTCTCACATTTATCACAGGGGCACATTTTATGTCCAGTATGTATATTTTCACTTGAATCTGAAAACCCACACTGAAGCATGTCACAGTTATTAAAGTATTCCTCACCTGACGAACCATAGATTGACAAGTCTTTATTATTCACAGAACCATCCATAGTTAATAGGCTTCCTGTTGTAAAGATACCTTGCAAACTTTTACCCATATTTTGGCTCTGGAATTGCTTTTGCCAAGAAAATGGCAAAGTTAGTGTTTTCTTCTTCTTTTTGCTAACTGCCTTACATGATCCATGTCTGCCAAGGGAACCCACAAAAGTTCTCTGAGTTTGTTCCACGTTCTGCTCTCCAGGGGTACGTTCGCAATTTTTCAAGCAGTTGCTTTTAAATGTTCTTTTCTCTGATTGAAGGTTATCTGATTTTTTACCCCCAGCACGTTTAAGTTTAGCCAAGAGCTTTTTAACAACGGTCTTATAGTTACAGCTTCTTTTGAGCCTGCTTGGAATTCTGCCACCTCTGGCAGGAAGACACTTGTGTCCTTTGAGAATCTGCTCTGACTCAAAGCATTCTTCACACTCTGAACACTGAAAAGGGACGATATAAATAGAGTGGACATCAAGAGGATTATTCTCCTCAGATTCACCCATATCACCATTTTCAAAAGCATCCTGCTTTGCATTTAATTTATTAGGTAGGGGACATGATTCAGGACTCTTTACTTTTAAAGAAAGATTCTGAAAAGTCTTATTCCTAGTGTGGATTTGTTTATGCTTCAGAAGTTTGCTTTGAATCTTAAATCCTTTTTGACAAAAACAACATTGAAAAGGTCTTTCTTCTGAATGTGTGAGTTGGTGGATTTTTAAGTGAGTTGACTGTCGGAAAGATTTACTGCACAGGACACATTTAAAAGGCCTCTGCCCAGTATGAATAAGTGCATGCCTATCAAGTTTTGATTGTGATGGAAACATTTTGCCACAGATTGTACATGCATGAATATGCTTTCTTCTCTTTGTAGTGCTATACGTGGGATCAGACTTAGAGCATGGGTGTAGTGCCCGTCTTTCCTCTGCAGTGAAAGTATTATATACTCCATACACAGGCTTCTCTGGCTTGGTCTCAAGCAATCTTCTGACTTTAACATCACTGTGATAGGATTCACTGTGAAGCTGCTGGTGCTTCCCCAACGTCTTCAGATTTTTAAAGTGGCGCTGGCAGATGTTACAACTGAAAGGTAAACTGTGAGTTGACTGGTGCCTCTCCAGATGAACTAGCTGTCTAAAGTGTTTATGACATACATCACATTCAAACGGCTTTTGACCTGTATGAATGAGGTAATGCCTAGCTAACTTGGATGGTGTTTCAAAGTGCTTGAAGCAAATGTTACAAATGTATGGTCTGTTCCTAGGTAGTTTGTTGGCTACACGTTGCTGAATCTTCAGCATTTTTAAGTTGTTTTCAGCCATCATATTCTTCAGTGTCATACTTTGACGAGCTCCATGGTGTTCTTAAGCTCCACAGACATCTACGAATTAAAAAAAAAACAAAGTATTAATTTTAAGATTTGTATAAAGGCAAATAATTTAGTTGTCCATAGGCAGAAGATTAAAAGTAAGGGAGAATTTGGACTTTCTTGTGTTTCCAAGTAACTTAACAACCATCTTAGATGAATTCTTTAGAATCATAGAACTAATTTTAAACAGATACAATTCGAGTTTATCTAAAGTTCTACTTTTCTACTTGATATTTAAAAAGGACCAAACTTGATTTTTAAGATTAAATAGCCCTTTTAGTTCCAACTTTCTTCCTTCATTATTAGATGTATCAATGAGTTGGTTTGTCATAAAAAAGAAGAAAAGGAGGAGGAGGAGGAGGAAGAGAAGGAGGAGGAGGAAAAGTAGTACCAGCAGTAGTAGTAGTAGTACCTGGTATTGTGGTACATTTCTGCAAGGCCAGCAATCCCAAGTTAGACACAGGAAGGATCATGAGTTTGAGGCCAATGTGGACTATCCAGCAATTTCAGGCAAGCCTCAGCTAGTGAGGCCCTGTCCTAATAATAAATAAGTATTTTTAAATTAATTAAAAGGTAGATTTAAAATATTAAAAATAAGACATATTGGCACTGTAGTATAACACATACTGTAGCCATGCTCTGAGCATAGAACGTTTCATTTATTCATATTTAGATGGTTGAACCACAATGTTAAAACTGTCTCTTCTCAACGGGCTTGATGGCACATGCCTTTAATCTCAGCACTGTGAGTTAAAGCCACCCTGATTTACATAGTGAATTCCAGGATAGTTAAGGCCACTCTGATTTATATAATGAGTTCCAGGCTAGCCGGCACTACAAAATGAGACCCTGTCTCGGAAGAAAAAAAAAATCAAAAATAAATAAATATTTACTCTCAATTATTTCTCAAGATCAACAAGGACAAGAATAATATTCACAGAAGACTTGAGTTTTAATCCTAAATTTGTCACTGTATAAGTTGTGTGGCAGGAAAAAGGGAATTTGAGATTCTTTAAACTGGGAGCAATGTCTTCTGCCATACCAAGTTGCTGTACAAGAATGGCAATAATGTATGTGCATGTGTCAGAAAACTGTGATGCACCATAGAAATGTGAGCTATTACTGAGCTCAAGATTAACCAGATTTTATGTTGTGACTCTTATCTCCTTAATACTGTAGGTTTCTAAGATAAACATACTAAATTTAGTTCTTTTCTCCCTTCTGCTTTGTTGAAGGCTTCCTAACAAAAACAAGTACAAAAGATGAGGTTGACAAATTGCATATTTCCATAGGTATTTATGAATAAAGAACAGAATGTTGAATGTAATTCTTTCATGGGACAATATTCAAAATAGGTCATTCTGGTCCAAGATGTACTCTTTACAGATGTCTTAGAGACACACTAAAACTTAACAAACATTTCACAATTCTCACATATCACTGCCCAGAAAAGACAAATTTCTTCTCCTTTTATTACTATTCCATTAGCCTTAATTAAGCCAGCAATTAAGACAAAAACTAAACAAAACAAAGCTCCATCAGTTCTTTCATTCTAATATATAAGACTTTACAACTCAACAAGAAATGCAGAATTCTTTTGGCTGCTGACTTGGCAAACAGTCAACCTATATGTTGCTCATCATCTCAGAAGACAACTTAAATACAAAATCAAACACACTCACTGTACAATCTGAATAAGAAACACAAGGTGAGAGATTATTTTGTACTAGTTGTTTACCATAGTGCTTTTCAAACTACAGGTCCATACTCATCATTGGACTGAAGTCAACTCGGTGGATGATGATCAGTCCATATAGAGTATAAAGTACCAGAGCATATACTGTGTAGTAAGTATAAAAATTGTTCTCTGAAACTTCAGGTGTTAGAAGTTAAAAGATATGTGAAAGCTATTCCTTACACATCTATTCACACAATACCAGACAGGGGAACCTGCAATCAATCAATCAACCACTATGTTCAATGAGAGGTAATCTATTTGGGTGACAAAGATCAGGGGCCACAGGCAGGAGTCCTAAAGAAACAACAGAGTTCTGTTTTCTTCCCATGGGCTGTATTATTTTAAAATATGCATGCAAAATTATTACATTAGTGGTCAAGTGGAAAAATGTCACTTAAATAAGAAAGTAAAACAATCGGACCATAAGCTACTTGACTAATTTATAAAATACATCATATAACCTAGCAACAGATGGCTATTGGAGTTATGGATGTTTTTACTTCACTAAGCTAAAAAAAAAAAAAAAAAAAGCTAAAAGTGAACAACCTGAAAAAAAAATTCCTAAACAAGTTAACATAAAGTTAACAGCTGTGAGAACTAAAATTGCCATAAATCCAGCAAACCACAAAGAACTCAGCAATTTATTTAATTCCTGACAGGCAATTAATTTAATTCCTGTTGAGCAACCAATGTCAAGATGGTCAATCAGGACAATGAGCCAAGCTTAAATCATCAAACCTTTATTCACTTGCTACAACAGTTTAAGTGGGACAAAAGGAGTCAGTCCCCCAGTGGACTCTTAACAGAAAGCAAGTGAGTGTTCAATGGACATAGTGCACAAGAGGAAAGCTTCTAACTAAGGGCTCCTGACGCCCATGGGCCAATGTGCCAGGGGGAGGGCTGGTGAATGGCTGGGAAAGAAATGAACTGTACTGTACTGTACTAAGTGCTAAGTCTGGTATGGGAAGACAGCTTCTCTCCATGAAGCAGGTAGGCAAAACCTCATAATTGCCACAGTCAAGCTACAGGGTTTGGGCCTGGAGTAGGGACTTCTCCATTCTTTTTATATACTTCTTCCACTGGGTGACTGTTTCTGTAGAATACCAGCCCTCTCAAAACAAAAAGTCCCACACTAAAACTACACAAGGCGACGACCTGATTATAAAGAACAGGAACTGGCCACCTATAGCTCCTGTGCCCCAAAAGGGTTTGTGGCTGAGCAGCCATCACTAGTATTAAGACTGGATACCTCTGTCACTTGCTTTGGGAAAGCACTTCATGAGAACCCTACCTTGTCAGAATCATTTGTGGCAAGTGGTGATCTCACATCCTATTTATAAGTAAAAGGTCAGGGATTTCCACACTCCAAGCACAATCCCCCTGTGCACTTAGAGGTTTAATCCCATTTCAACTGATTTTTCTTTTCTCTCCACTGAATTAGTCATGATTAAAAAAAACAAAATACCCTAAGGCTAACTTTTATGTTACAATACAAACTAATGGATGTGCTCAATGACTCGATCCAGATATCATCAAGACAGGAGCTCAAACAACATTAAGCCAGGTAACTATAAAAACGGACATCAATAAAATCCAATGTTGTCTCAGGGTTGAAAGCACCATGGTCTTAGCAAATACCACTTAAAAGACATCTCCAATGTATCACAAAAGTAAATGAACAAGAAACAAAACACCTGAGAAAAACGCAACTTGCAGCTCGAGAATTCTTTCTGGTGACATTTACAACAAGCTTAGCCGCCTTCTACCTTGTTCTGCCCATGGCCCACTCCCTTGGCCTTGAACCATCACCTTTCCCTAAACTTGAACTGTTTTCAGCCTAATCTCCCGCAAGCAAAGAGCATTTGGGAGGTCCAACTGAGTTCAGGGACTGTAAAAAATCCCAAGTCTGGCATGGGCAAGGGTGAAAGCTCCACTGACTGTAGCCAGAAGATGGGGAGCAGGGGAAGAGCCGAGTGAAAGATGGGAAATAACTGATTTGACCCCAGGAGGATGGACACAGGGCTCACTCTTTTGAGTTTACCGCTCCCACGAAGCACACGCAAGGAGCTGAGGTCGTGGCACCCTGTTCCGTTCCCCGGGAACCTCGGCGGGGTTGAGCAGGCCTGACCCTCCCCGGGGTTCATTCCACCTGGCACGCAGGCTCCTGAGGTCCTCCACACGCACCTGGAGCAGGTAAGGGCCCGGCAGCGGCGCATCTCTAAGCCAGGGGTTCGCGAAGACGAAGCCGAGAGCGCACGTCCGCGGGGTCGGCGCGGCGACTGGCTGAGTGCGCAGGCGCGGCGCTCCGGAGTGCTCCGAAAGTGGTCCTGCCGGAAACAGTCTCTCGCGATGTCTGGGCCGGCGGCGCTAGCTTCTTAGAGGACCGCGGGTCCTAGCGCGTTGTCCACCCAGTCTTGCTATTTCCAAGAAGAGAAAACAAGACGCACAAAGGCTGCACTTCCCATCGTACTGTTATCAACCCTTCGTTATGGAAATCCCAGACAGGACTGACTGTAAGGCTCGGCTCTTGCTGGAATCGAGGGTCAGAGTTCAAAGCCCACTAATGTTTTGTAAGGTCGAGGCTGTGGATAAAATTCCTTGTATTAGGCACATACTGGGTTAGGACTGTTTTCAGCAATTCGTATTTATGTCAATACAACGATGAGGTGAACCGTCCTGGCCATAGCGTCACACAGGACCAGATTCTTTGGGGAGGGGTGGAGGTTAGGGGCGCTGATCCCCGTTGGTCAGCCAGAGGCTAGTTTAGCAGATCTCACTGGTTTTACGTATTTTGGACGTTTACAGTGTACAAAACTCTTTGCCCAGCATTTGACTCTTCTTTGACAATTTAGATAAGATGCACTTGGACAAAATGCATGCAAGGTACTCAACATCCATTATTATTTTTATACTAAATACAAAAGCTTTATGAAATAATAGGATCCTGTTTTAAGATGAGGAAAGAGGGACTTGGAGACGTTAGGAGCTTAGTGGCAGACAACTAATAAATGATAGAGGTGAGATTTGAACTCAAGTAGCCTAATACCAGACCTGTACTTTCAGTTCACTCCTTCTTCCCAAATCATAGATATTTCAGCATATTTTGTGTACACAAGTAAGGGCCAACTGTTAGGGTACAATTACACACTGCAGTGGCATATTGTCACTGAATAAGATGATAAAGTGTCAAAGACTTTAAGAACAAAGACATTAGAGAAGGATTATTGTCGTTTTTTGCAGGTTTGAATTATAATTGTCTCACTTTAAGAGAGGAGAAAATGAAAAATTACCAACTTTTCTGACCATAAACAACTTTTGGGTTACTTCCCAAGGACGTATGTGTGTGTGTGTGTGTGTGTGTGTGTGTGTGTGTGTGTGTGTGTGTGTGTGGCGGGGGTGTGTGTCAGTTTCTAATATGAATAAATTTTCCAGAGGGAGAGGGGAGAAAAAGCAGTTGGACTGATTTTTGAAAAACCAAGGCTGCTCTGGATGTGGAATTATGGGAAAATGCCTACAGGAAATAAGCTGTTGCTTCTCATCTGGGAACCTTCAAGGGTCACAGTTGCCCCTTTCAACAGAAGAATACATGGAGAAGGAAAGGGAAAAGCTTTAGATGTCTTGAATGCTAATCCAAAGGTGGGGATGCTGTGAGTTCAGATAATTCGTGGAGATTTGCTTCATTTTTCAGGTTCTCAGAAAGTGTAGCCCATTCATATCATGCAAACTAGCGTATCCATCACTAATCACACAAATCTTTAGGAGAAATAGCAAAGTCCTGAGAGAATGCTACCTGAAATTGGAGATTAATGGACGGAAGGATCCACTCTTTATTTGTTACCTGAAAGCTTGACTATATGGTATGAAGTACAGTCAGGAACGAGATAAACCATTCTCCAAGGCCATATACCCTTTGTGATACCTTCTCTATTTTCTCTGAGAACTATCTTGGGAAATTTCTGTAGAATGGGGGGAAATTAATGTAAATAATAGCCACCAAGGAAAAGTTCGTGGAATAAGATTCAATTTGCACTTAGTAGTGGGTCGAAGATGGGTGAATAGAAACTGGGACAGGAATGAACATGGAAGGTAAGTAAGGATGAATACAGGTCATGAGTTAAAAATGGGAATGCACCTTGTTTTAGTATTAGTAACTTTTCTCTGCAGCTTCCTAGTGTTATTAGAAGTTATTTAATCTTCCTTATCTTTAGCTTCCTGGAGCTGGAGGGATGACTTAGTTTATGGACTGTGTATATGAGGATCCAAATTTGAATCTCCAGGACCCTAATAAAAAGCCAGGCAATGCATACCTGTAATCCCAGCATTCGGGAGGCAGAGACAGGGGTTTGCTAGATAGTGACTCTTATCAAATCGGTAAGCTTCAGGTTCAGAGAGACACCCTGTCTTAAGAAAAAAAATAGTAAGTTGGATGCAATTGAAGAAAACTATTTTTGAAGCTAACATCCACATAAGTGTGCACACAGAAACTGGCATGTACATACACACAGAACCCAACTTTATTTCTCATTTATAAAATTAGGCCATAATCATTTATCCAATGACATATCACATGAAAAACATCAAAGATTCACTTCTGAATATATACATATCAATCAGGCCTTCAACAGTAGACAGGCTGGTATCATGTGATAATAGGTCATATGTGGAATGTGTATGGAAGATACAACATCTCAAGACTTCAGATGGAGATGGACTCTGAACTGAGACTCTAGTCAGCCATTCATTCATGTAATGTATATTTTATCAAGTTTTCCCTGCATACCAAGCCTATTCCAGGAGTTGGAGAAATATGCAGATAAGTAAAAATGAAATCTGTCAGAGTTAATTTTATGTAGTACTAATGGAGGTAGAAAGTAAACAGTAAAATAAACAGTAAATATAAGGTTGAACATTGATAAGGGTAGAGCAGAAGTCAAGCACAGAAGTAAGCTATGAAGTTTTGTGGGCAATGCACTGACTGGTTTCAACTGTCAAATGATACAACTAATAATCCCACTAGAGTCTTAGTGAATTATCTGGATCAGGTTGCCTTGCAGACATGTCTTTGGGGAGGGAGTTGTCTCGATGGTTAGTTGATGTAAGAAGACCCAGCCCATTGTGGGTGGGACCATTCCCCCAGCAGTATAAGAGAGAACACTAGCTTAAAGTAAACAAGATTGCATTTATTCTCTCTATGCTTCTGACTGTGGATGGGTGTCACTAGCTGCTTGAGTTCCTGCCTTGAGTTCCTGGAAATGATGGGTGGAAATTAAAATTGTAATTCAAATAATCCCTTCCCCTTATGTTGCTTTTTGTCAGAGTGTTTGTCCTTACAATACAAATGAAACTAGAACAAGAAGGACTTGACAATATCTGAATGGGTTCTCAAAGATGACATTACTAAGAAGTTTCCTGACTTTTTTTTTTTTTTTAGTAAAACCCAATAGAAATGAGAGATATACATGGCAAATGGAGGTAGCTATAATATAACACACTAAGAACTTCCTTCACAGGCAGTTAGGTAGAGAATATGCCAAGCATAGAAGTCAGTGCAACAAAGAGTGACAAATGGGAAACTGAGTAGATCAGAACTGATTGAGTGTCAAGTCCAGGAAGGAGAGGGGAATAGCAGCACTATGGCTGATTCAGCTAATAATTTAGAACAAGTATTGCTCCTCAGGTTGTTTGCAAAAAGCTAGAAGAGATCTTAAATACTAATACTTTCTTGTTTGTCATTATTTACATATGGTTTGAAGATTTCCAGAGGCACAATCGGAAGCTTGAGTTTCAATGCTGCTAAAGGGACAGGCCTTCCAGGAAGTCACTTCTCTTTTTCTCATTTTGCTTCTTTCATTTTTTTCCTGTTCCCTCTGGGGCAACCAACAAAACCATCTGCTTGCCTCCTTCATGGACAAGCCAGATAAAACCTGAATTCCTCAACTAGAAGCTTCTATCTTTAAACAATTATCAAAGAAATTTTCCAACAAACGCAGCTCCCTTTCTTTCTTTCTTTCTTTCTTTCTTTCTTTCTTTCTTTCTTTCTTTCTTTCTTTCTTCCTTCCTCCCTCCCTCCCTCCCTCCCTCCCTCCCTCCCTCCCTCCCTCCCTCCCTCCCTCCCTCCCTCCCTCCCTCCCTCCCTCCCTCTCTCTCTCTCTCTCTCTCTCTCTCTCTCTCTCTCTCTCTTTTTCAGTTTTTGAGACAGGGTTTCTCTGTGTAGCTTTGGAGCCTGTCGTAGAACTTGCTCTGTAGATCAGGCTGGCCTCACACTCACAGACATCCATCTGCCTCTGCCTCCTGATTGCTGGAATTAAAGACAAGAGCCTCCACTGCCCGGCCCAGCTCCCTTTCTAAGAGGGGTTTGTGAGTAAAATCTCTCCATCATACAAGTCCTTGGAAAAAATTTGCAAACTCTTGTATGTTTTGTCATAAATTTTTTGAGGCCCTTTGGGCTTGGGGGATGACATGAAGAATGAGGGAGGGGAGAAGAGAATTAATTGAAATCAGAAAATACAGAATATTACAGTTGTGATTTACCGAGGGCCACTGGACCACTTGTAACTTACTCACATCTAGCCCCAGTCTCCTAATAGGTTACAGGATATCTCTAAAGCTCCATTGTGGAGAACATCTTTTGGATTTCTGAATCTAGTTAATCAGTTGCATCATTTCATCCACACTGTTCAGTCTTCCATATGTTGATTCATATCCAGGAGTGCTGAGGATTCAGAGTTATATAGAAATAAGGTAGGCTTGTTGTGGGATGGTCTGTATGTCAAATTGCTCTGATTGGTCAATAAATAAAACACTGATTGGCCAGTGGCCAGGCAGGAAGTATAGGCGGGACTAACAGAGAGGAGAATAGAGAAAACAGGAGTGGGGGGGGGGGAGACATTGCTAGCCCCTGCCATGACAAGAAGCATGTGAAGATGCCGGTAAGCCATGAGCTGGTGGCATGGTATAGACTTATAGAAATGGATTAATTTAAGATATAAGAACAGTTAGCAAGAAGCCTGCCATGGCCATACAGTCTGTAAGCAATATAAGTCTCTGTGTTTACTTGGTTGGGTCTGAGCTGCTGCAGGACGGGCAGGTTAGAGAGATTTGTCCTGACTGTGGGCCAGGCAGGAGCAGAAAAACTCTAGCTACATAGGCTCATTAATTTGAGCTTTCTTTTGTGAATGTGCATGTATGTATGCATGTTTATTTGCATGTGGGTGCATGCATGTGCAGTGGTGCATGTGGAGGTCTGAAGTTGCATTTCTCTACACCTTATATATTGAGGTTGGGTCTCTTGCTGAAGCCAGAACTCTCTATTTCAGCTTGTCCAGTTAGACATCTTGTTTCTGGGATCCCCTGTGTCTGTCCCTGCTCCAGGGATTTCCTGTCTCAGTCTCCATGTGCTGAGATTACTACACCCACTGATCTTATGTGTGGGTCCTGGGCATCTGAACTCCAATCAGTCCCCACACTGGTATAACAAGTTCTTTACCTGTGGATCCATCCCTCTAGCCCCAAACTGTAGGTGTTGGCCATACTTGTTAAACTTTATGATCAAGGATAACATTTTAACCCTCATTGGATGGTTCTCTGACAATTACAAGTTCAAGGTATAGGGCCACCAAAGAGGGAAGGAAGAACTGTGGTGTTTGTTGAGTTTTTTTTTTCTCATGGGACCAGGAGAGCATAGTGTGGGAGCCCACAGAGTTTTCCTAGTGAGATCTGAGCTTGCTTTACCCAGCAGGGCTGCCTAAGGGGAGGGCTTGACCATGGGTGTGGTTATCAGGTGTTTGGAAGGGTCTGCATTTGGCTTGCTTTGATCTAGCAAGAGGGTGGTCTTTTACCCTACCCTTTGGCATTGTTATAAAAAGCCCGTTTGAAGAGACAGAAGGGGCCGAAGGATTTTGATTCAGGTCCTCCTGATGTTATCCTGTGTTTCTGTCTGTCTCATATCCACTATCTTTCTATTTACAAATTACTTCTTCTTCTCTCCTTCTCATAGAAACCCTGTAAGAGGTGGGAGCTGGCCTGTTTCTGGATCCTAATTTCCGAATTATGGTGACAGAATTCTTCTAACCAGTATATTATACCAAAAAAAAAAATTTGTCTCTGTAAGATTCAGAATAAATGTAGACATTTTCCCTCAGTCCCTGGCAACTAGTATTTGGGATTTGGTATTTATTAATTTGTTATTTTTACTTGTATGTATTTATGAGGTACCCTATGGTGTTCCATTTTATAATGTCCAAATCAAGGTTAGCATGCTAATCGCTTCAAACAGTTATCATTTCTTTGTGAAGAAAGCATTCAAAGTTCTTCCAGTTGTTTTGAATTTGCATTCAAAGTTCTTCCAGTTGTTTTGAATTATACAGTACATTATCTAAAGTCACCCTACTGTGACCTTATTTCTCCTATCTAGCTGTGAGTTAGTACTCATTGATCAACAGTCCTTATCCCTTCCTACCTCCGACATTTCTCAGCATCTGATAGCCAGCATTTAATACTCAATTCTATGAGATCAACTTTAAAAAATCCCACCTATGAGTAAGATCATGCAGTACTATTTCTTCTGGCTTATTTCATTAAATATAATGCCTCTTAAATCCCACTATACTAGTCCAAAATTTTAATGGCTGAATACTATCTCATTGTGTACATACATCACATAAATTCATCAGATGATAAATACTAATGGTTAAATTTAGTTCTGAGTATTTTTTAAGCTATTGCAAATACTGATTTGTTTTTTCAGATATTTGCTATTGGTATGTAAAACCATTACTGATGTCTGTATGTTGAAACTTTCCCAGATTTACTTGTTCAAACTGGTTTTTGGAGGAGTCCTTATAGTTTGTTGTATGTAAAGTCCATGTCATATTCAAGCAGTGACAATTTGGTGGATTCCATCACCACTGAGATGTTCTTTGCTTATTTCTATTGCCTTACTCTTCTGGTTAAGGACTTTCAATACTAGGTTGGATAAATGGTGAGGGTGGTTTGTTTTATCTTGTTTCCGAGCTTAGAGAGAAAGAATTTAGCTTTTCTTCATTTGGCATGATGTTAACTGTGGTGTTTATTATGTGGAAATATTTTTCTTCAATACCTAACTTGTTCAGGATTTTTATTGTGAATTAGTGAATTCTTAAGAAATTTTTTATTCATTTTACATACCAACCACAGATGCCCCTCTCTTCTCTCCTCCCACCCCCAGCCTTACCCCCCATCCACCCCCATTCCCTCCTCAGACAAGGTAAGGCCTCCCATGGGGAGCCAGCAGAGACTGGTACATTGAACGGAGGCAGGTCCAAGCCCCTCCCCCTGCACCAAGGCTATGCAAGGTGTCCCCTCATAGGTAGTGGGCTCCAAAAAGCCAGGTCACGCACCAGGGATGGGTCCTGATTCTACTGCCAGGGGGACCCTTAAGCAGATCAAGCTACACAGCTATCTCAATTATGCAGAAGGCCTAGTCCAGTCCCATGGAGGCTCCACAGCTGTTGGTCTAAAGTTCATGAGTTCCCACTAGTTCAGTTTGGTTGTCTCTGCAGGTTTCCCCATCATGATCTTGATGCCCATTGCTCATAGAATCCCTCTTCTCTCTCTTCGGCTGGATTCCTGGAGCTCGGCCTGGTGTTTGGCTGTGGATCTCTGCATCTGCTTCCATCAGTTACTAGAGAAAGGCTCTATGATGACAGGATATTCATTGATCTGATTACTAAGGTAAGCCAGTTCAGACACCCTGTCCACTATTGCTAGTGTCTAAGCTGTGTCATCCTTGGGGATTCCTGGGAACTTCCCCAGCACACAGTTTCTCCCTATCCCCAGGATGTCTCCCTCTATCATCGTATCTCTTTCAGTGCTCTCCCACTCCATTCCTGTTCCAGCACAACCATCCCATTCCCTTATGTTCTCAGCCCCATCCCCTCCCCTCTATTGCCCCCCTCCACCCCCAGTTTACTCATGGAGATCTTACCTAGTTCCCCTTCCCAGGGTGATTTATATGTTACTCTTAGGGTCCTCCTTGTTAGTTAGCTTCTCTGGAGCTGTGGGTTGTAGTCTGGTTAACCTTTGCTTTACATCTAGTATCCACTTATGAGTGAGCACATACTATGTTTGTCTTTCTGAGTCTGGGTTACCTCACTCAGGATGATGTTTGTAGTTCCATCCATTTGCCTGCAAATTTCATGGTGTCATTGTTCTTCACTGCTGAGTAGTACTCCATTGTGTATATGTACCACGTTTTCCTAATCCATTCTTCGGTTGAGGGGCATCTAAGTTGTTTCCATGTTCTGGCTATTATGAATAATGTTGCTATAAACATAGTTGAGCATGTGTCCTTGTGGTATGATTGAGCATTCATTTGGTATATACCCAAGAGTGGTATAGCTGGATTTTGAGAAAGATTAATTCCCAATTTTCTGAGAAATCGTCATACTGATTTCCAAAGTGGCTGTACAAGTTTGCACTCCCACCAGCAGTGTGGGAGTGTTCCCCTTGCTCCACATACTCTCCAACATAAGCTCTTATCAGTGTTTTTGATCTTAGCCATTCTGACAGGTGTAAGATAGTATCTCAGAGTCATTTTAATTTGCATTTCTCTGATGACTAAGGATGTTGAGCAATTCCTTAAAGTCTTTTGGCCATTTGAGAGTCTTCTGTTGAGAATTCTCTGTTTAGCTCTGTAGCCCATTTGTAATTGGATTATTTGGTATTTTGATGTCTAGTTTCTTGAATTCTTTATATATTTTAGAGATCAGCCCTCTGTCAGATGTAGGGTTAGTGAAGATATTTTTCCATTTGGTAGGCTGTAGTTTTGTCTTATTGACTGTGTCCTTTGCCCTACAAACGCTTCTCAGTTTCAGGAGGTCCCATTTATTAATTGTTGCTCTCAGTGTCTGTGCTACTGGTATTATATTTAGGAAGTGGTCTCCTGTGCCAATGTGTTCAAAGCTACTTCCTACTTTCTCTTCTATCAGGCTCAGTGTAATTGGATCTATGTTGAGGTCTTTGATCCACTTGGATTTGAATTTTGTGCATGCTGATGGATATGGATGTATTTGCAATCTTCTACATGTTTACATCCAGTTATGCCAGCACCATTTGTTGAAGATGCTTTCTTTTTTTCCATTGTACAGTTTTAGCTTTTTTGTCAAAAATCAGGTACTCATAGGTGTGTGGATTAATGTCAGGGTCTTCAGTTCAATTCCATTTGTCCACATGTCGGTTTTTATGCCAATACCAAGCTATTTTTTATTACTATAGCACTATAGTAGAGCTTGAGGTCAGGGATGGTGATGCCTCCAGAAGTTGCTTTATTGTACAGGATTGTTTTAGCTATCCTTTTTTTTTTTTTCATATGAAGTTGAGTATTGTTCTTTCCAGGTTTATGAAGAATTGTGTTGAGATTTTGATGGGGGTTGCACTGAATCTGTAGATTGCTTTTCATAAGATTGCCATTTTTACTATGTTGATCCTACCTATCCAAGAGCATGTGGGAGCTTTGCATTTTCTGATATCTTCTTCAGTTTCTTTCTTCAGAGACTTAAAGTTCTTGTCATGCAGGTATTTCACTTACTTACTTAGAGTTACCCTGATGGTTCTGATAAATGGCAGTGGTTGTGGAATTGGTTATCTAGTGGAAAGGTCACGGTCATGACAGAACCCAGTGGTACTTTTTAGAGCTTTATTAGGAGGGAAAGGTGGGGAAAGGGAGGAGGAGAGCCAGGGCTGGAGGGGGAGGGAAGCAGGGGGCAGAAAGAGAGGGTGGGGGTCTGCATCAGGCTTTTTAAGGTGTGTACATAGCTGCCAGCGCCCCCTGATGGTGTAAGACGCAAGTCCCTGAGCTGCTCATGTACTGGAGTGAGGGCAGAATCCTAACATTCTAGACTTTTTGCTTATTATATAAAAAAGAGTGAATATGAATAGGGGCATCATTTTTCCCGGAAAAACTGCTTCCAGCTCACTTGGTGGGCATCAGTTGGCTCTTGGGGGGTAGGCAAGGGGACCTTCCGAGGTCGACTGGGATGGTGGCCTGTTCTGCTGCCCTGGAGCCGTCCATCCCTCTTGGCTTGGCACTCTAGCCGCTTTTGTATCTGATAGGATGCTGGTGAGACAGAAGTAGATCTGACCTGTCCAGATGGATTTAAGCTGGTTTCTGGAGCTTGGGAAAATTTTGAACATGTTAAGAAGCAGCCATGAGAAAATCAGTGACCATTTGTAGTGTTTAATACTCTTCTTATATTGGTTAGTGTTAATGGGAGAGACAGAGAGATTGGAACATGTTTTTAATTTTCATAACCTGAGATAAGCTTTATCAGAGACAGCTCATTTAAGGCACCTGTTTCCTTTACTAGTTTAGCATCCAGGAGACTGATGATCAATTATTGAGAGCATTTAACAATAATAGATGGTTATATTAAAGTCTGTTTTTGCAGAGCCCAGACACTTTTGGGTCTGGGGGAGTAAATGTCTTTTAGCTGTTACAGTTTCTTACTTGATGATCTCTGGACTCCAGTTCTGTGGTAGTTCTGTACCATTAGCTGAGCAGTTAGTTAGAAGAGGGAACTGGGAAGAGAAAAGCTTGTGGGGTGAGAACTCACTCTTTTGGAATTAGGGACAAGGCAGAGATCAGGGCCCTGTCTGTGTGCATGAGGAAGAGAAGCACTTCTGACAGGTCTGGAGTGAGGCACATGGAGGGAGCAATGAAATGAAAGCTCCTATCTTAGCTGGAAAATCTTTTCCCATTAAGTAACCCTGAAAGTACAATTAAATCTGGGAGGGGAGGATAAGGCTGTCCTCCCTACTCTGACAATAGGGAAACGAGGAGAGGTGAGATCCCCAAACTCCCAGGACTGGGTTAGTGATTCTGCTGCATTCTGGGTTCCCTGCAAATGAGCCTGTGGCCAAGCCTAGGTCTGCTGGAGGTCTTTCTCTGTCCCCCTGCCCCTTGGTGCCTGGGTCCAGTCATCTGACCAGTTGTCTTTCTAGGTGGCACTTTGAACAAGGCTCAGTTGATGGCCTGGAAGGGCACACATTAGCCGTTGTGGCCTTCCCTGCCTCCCTGCACTTAAAACAGGGACCCAACAGCTTTTGGGAGCCAGTCAGACAGCGCGTGCCAACACTTGGCAGTTTTGTTTTCAGGCCTATTTTTTATCTCTCTCCGGTACACCTTAAATGCCACAGCTGAAATTTCTGCTTTTGGGGTCAGGAGCCTTGCTCTCCAGATGCTTAAGTTTTAGTCCTATGTTGGGGAGGTCTGGGGGACAAGAGATGGATTTTATGCTGTGTCTTGAATTTTTTGGTGTCTGTTGCCTTGAGGACAGCTTTAGGAAGACCTGCCAAGAGGCAGAGTGTGAACTGATCATAAACCTGTTTGCATGTATCCTAGCCCACTTTCAAACCCATCTGTGCCTCTCAGGGCAGCTTGAGAATGAGTGGGAGGAGTTGAGGTGAGTTAAAGCTTGCCCAATGCTGGAGAGCAGAAAGCAGAAGTCAGATAGACAGAAGTGGTTGCACGTGCCAGAGAAACAATCAGAAGTGGAGAGGGGGTGGGGGTGAGGTTCAGAGCTTCGATAGAAAGGTTGGGGATAGTAACTCTTTTCATTTGCCCGTTTGCTGGCAGAAGTTAGATAGTTCCCATGAAATATCGGGGTTGAAATAGCCAAATTTACCGGTGTCTGCCCCTATGTCACATGGTTACAGCACCGAGAGAGAAAAATAAAAAATTAAAATAACGAACCGGGATCAGACTCCAGTCACAGGCGTCCCTGAGGTAGGAGAAGGATCTATGAATCAGCATAAGTTACTCCCACCTTTGTCAAGAGAGGAGTAAAATCTGGGAGCATCTGTAGCACGTGGACCCCCTGGGGGTCCAGCAGCATTGACCTCCTCGTCAGGAGAGAGAATGAGTGGGTGCCAGTGCAGCCCGAGGAATGCCCTCCCCCCACCAGCGTCCGGTGGGAGGAATATAGCTCAGGCTGCAGCCATGGGAAACGTCAGAGGAACTTAACAATCTTGGCAGCATGTGTGGTGGGGGGAGACACAGTGGCGCTGGTCACGAGCATGGTCCCAACACAGTGGTGGTGGTGGAGGTGGTGGTGGCGGTGGCGGTGGCGGTGGCGTGCAGTCACAGGTCCTCGGTATAGGCTTCCAAACGCTCAACCCTGGACAGACAGTGTGTGGAATTTCCTATCTGAGTTGTGGCACCAAATGATGGTTCTGCTGAACAGCACTGTTTGCTGCACTGGTTACCTTGTGGAAAGGTCACAGTCATGACAGAACCCAGTGGTACTTTTTAGAGCTTTATTAGGGGGGAGGGGGGAGGGAAAGAGGAGAGCTAGGCCTGTTGGGGGAGGGAAGTGGGGAGCAGAGCAGAGAGAGAGGGTGGGGGTCCATGTCCTGCTTTTTAAGGTGTGAACATAGTCGTCAACACCCCCTGATGACGTAAAATGCAAGACCCCTAGCTGCATATGAGTCAGAGTGAGGGCAGGATCCTAACATACCCCAATGTATTTTATATTATTAGTGGCTATTGTAAAGGGTGATGTTTCTATTATCTTTTTCTTAGCCAATTTATCATTTGTATATAGGAGAGCTACTGATATTTTTGAGTTAATCTTGTATCCTGCCACATTACTGAAGGTGTTTATCAGCTGTAGGAGTTCCCTGGTAGAATTGTTGGGGTCACTTATGTATACTATTATATCATCTGCAAATAGTGA